TTATATACCGATTTGATCGATATGTACTATTCTCTCTAGTTCTTATGATCTTCTCTTCTTGTGTTTATGTTCGACTATTTGGTGTGATCGGTAAATTTTATTTCTGGCAATTCGAGCTCGACAATTACATTCTCATACAATAATTGTATATACTTTATTGAAATTCATAATATAGTATGTGTAGTTCTGCTCCCATTGTACTCATACTCCGTAATCAACACTCTAGTGACAACTAATTGATATGGTTGGTTATTATTCGTATTTCATGATAGATACTCTTATCTTCTTCTTTTTTTCCATTCTTTTTTTTTTCTATTTCATTCTCTCATTTCTGCCTTTTGCACTTCACTTTACATATTTTTCTAATATATTTAATTTAAATAATAATTCTTCCTCACCACTTTAATAAACTTCTTGTGCATAAGATTTTGTCGGTTGTAGATTCCATGTTTCTTCATAATGCTTAAGTTAAGTTTAAAATCGTAGTTGCAATTTCATCGGACTCTTTTGTAAAATTTCTTAGAGTTCTGTGTGTAAATCAATGTGTGAAATTTATATTATTAGGAGACATAATATTTATGAGATATGAGTGTAGCGCGAGTAGTGATATAGTAGAGTCTATTGGAACAATGTGATTTAACTATTATGTCGTATTGTAATGATTAGATACCGTAAGATAGATCGTGATAGGGGTGTGTGAGGAATTAAGCTCCACTCTGTATGACATTCCTTGCTTACACCCTCGTACCATGATGGTGGCGTGTGGTTCCTTGCATCGAGGGAACATAAATCGCTTTTAGAGCATAACATTTTGTGACATTAAGGGCTATTATAATGAAAATGTTGGGATCGATTTCATTCCAAGCCAGAACTCGTATACGCAGAGAGTGTTTCTTGCCATGATATACCGACAATGTCTCGGAACAGCCCATTGGAAGGGTACTAGCTACTTTCCCTTGTGAGAAGTCGCACTCCTCCTCTTTAAATTATCTAGAAACCAAATTATAATACTCGCATGCATTTCGAGATTTTATGTTATCAATTTAGCATAAATGTTAGAATAATTAGCAGTTAGATCATTAAATTATTTAAATGTGATTCATACTATATTTTTATCTTTTCTAGGAGTACAACAATCAATGATAATTAATGTGTAGGAGGATTTAAATTATTAGATGTTTATTTTTTATTGTAGTTTATATATATAATAAAAGATAATAATATATAGTTTTATGTTTGAGATATTGTTGCCCTGATGTAAGTATTGGGTTATGAGTCGTAATAGTTGAGTGAATGATAATTTTTTGGAGAGGAAAATATTCGATATGAGTAGTTACTATATATGAATAACTAAAATTTTTTCTTGTGTATATGTTGGTATATCGATCGACTCTATATCGAGACCGGACTCATTAATTTCTCCTGTATCGAGCGAATAATACATTTCCCTTGTTATTATTTTGCTAATTCTTCCCGTCTGGGCCATACAAAACAATTGCTCTCAAATACCATTTTGTTTTTATATTATTACGCATTCTAAGTGCGATTATTATTCCACATAAGCTATATGCAATGACCGGAGAGTGTAGAGATATTATAGAGACAATAATTAAAGTTTTCCCGAGATCGTAGGATATGCCATTGTTGTGAATATATCTGTGGTATTCAAAGTATTTAGGGAAAAAACAACGTAAAAGATATTTCATCCGCATTATTTCACCTCTATTTTAACACTAGATCAAAATGTTCAATAATAGTATCAACTTATTAATGCGAGAATATAATAATGCTAATTGAGTTACTATGACAACACCGACCTTATCACGCAATTTCGTATACTATAGCAGAGAAATATATAAATGAGAAAGAAATGATATATCATATAAAAAAATATTAAAATAATAAAAGTAGAAAGTGTGGATTATGTCATGATTTATTAATTTCTATAATCCACTGAATTCACACAGATCTTCGAATATATATTTGTTTTGTTATTTATCTATGATCATATTTGTTGATGGAGAGTTTATCTGTATACTGGATCCTCTTATTTTATCTCACTCTTAATTAAAATAATGTGAATATAAGATAGTATTTCTTAGTATATTATAGAATTGCTATTTTTGAGGTGTTTCGTTATGTAACCCGTATAATAATTCTTAATTCAGTGCATAAATGATGTGAGCCACATTATGATTTATTATGATATGGGTCCGGTTAAAAAAGAGAGATTAAGCTCACTTGAGTATTTTATTTGTGTGATTCGTGATAATGTTACGATTAGTGAGATCAATTTATATGTTTAATGTGTTTGAATAGATATTAGTCTCTCTAAATATGATTTGCTTCGAGTCACGTCCGAGTCTTAGGGACATCCAGTCAGCATTGCAAGGACAATCTAGTACCTCTGACGTGTGCTCCGTGGCAATTAATTGGAAACGGATTGCGATTGTGGGAGATTCGTCGCTTTTTAGCCATGGTGTGTCTCTATCCTATTTATATTAATTTTATGCCTATTATTTTTGTCCTCTCTCTCCTCTTCGGTGTCGGATTACCTCGTGCTGGGACTTCACTCCTCGTCTCAAAATCACTCTCCTCTTTCTTCGCTTCACTCTCGTTACATATATTGAGTAGTCCAGGATCATTATACTATTATACCTTGGCGTATACTATTTGCATCGATCAAGATTTAGGCTCACACTCAACTTAATACTCTGGATCACTCCGGCTCGTTTTACTTGGTGTTAAAGGTCAGTATATCTTTAATAGATTCAGTGGGACTATATGAGATAATTATGAGTCGATTATCTGCGAGTAAGGTTGTTCGCTATTGCTTTTCTGTGCGTTCTAAATTAATTGAGACAGTTAATTGGGATTTGAGATACTTATTATGCTCTTTTGTTCCAGATTGGTATAGCGCTTTGGATCCAAGATAACACAGTATAATGGCCTAAGCGCTTTCCACCTTTGCTTTTAGGGACGAATTGTTTTGTTTCACTACATCTCTGGTGGTAAGCAGTAATTTCAAGATTTCGTAGCCTAGTTAAACCATTCCTATCTATTCATATATAAATCTTACTAACATTGTCGAGTGGATGTAACCTCCTGTCGACTTGGTGCTGCGAGATTCTGTCGATCTTCTACGAATAGTGGGTTGGGGCTGGATGGATGAGGGTGTTGGCTCATCTGCATCAAGTGTTAGCCTGGACTAGTTACCGACCCATATGATCTTAGGGACCCTTCACCAACTCATTTCATATATGCTACCATTCCTAAAATCACTTCCTCGCTTTAAAAAAGAGAGTTCCGAGGAAATGGTTACTTCTTTATTGACATTATGAAAATCACATCTCATTATCTGGTACGCAAGAATCTCCGTTCTGTATAGAATCTACCTTTTTGACACCCAATAATGATGCATAGGCATTCGCAAGGAAATACGTGATGTTGCTCTATGTCGATTTATTTCTCTTTAATCACCTCATCATCTCACAGCTTCGATAGTACATTCACTGTTATGGTCGGTTGAATAACCACTGTCTTGATAATGTATGATTTCCGGTGTGAGTGTAGTGGGCTTCATGTTATACGTCTCGATGGCGAACGTATGCAGAATGTTGTTTCACACACGTGAGTCTTCCCACCAACGTGTGGACACCATGTTTTTGATGCTGAGCATGCATAAGATATCATTGGTTTCTGGGCTGTTCGCGGATATATAACATATGTTTGCTTACCAGAGAGTTCACTTGTCATAGCCTTTCAATCCAAGTCAAGGGTCTGTTTCACTTTAATTGCCAGATTGCCTGTGGTTGGGGATCTGTTACCTGCACAAGCATTACAGCTGTACAACTTCGCCCTCTAAGTCTTAGACCCTCTGGATTTTCGGTGCTCACATACTTGACTCTGTCTCATGGGATTAACCCGATACCTTTATATGTTACTTTTCTCAGAATTCGTTCAGGGCCCCTCACTTCATTATCAGATCCAACTAACTGTCGGATCCTTATCCACACCTGCATTAACTGCGTTCTACGAATCTTGAGGACCACCGCTACGCTACACGCACCATACTAGTCGTCGTTTCGGGTCGTATTATAAACAACAAAGCGGCAGCCTCTCTATTCGTTTCACTGCGTCTTTTAAAGTAGTAAAGTGAATCGATTCACGGATCTCGTTCATCTTGTGTTTACTCAATGCGTTAAATGTTACACATGCTTTCAGAATGATAATTCACTATTGTCTACATTACAACTAAACTGTCCGCTCTAATCATTTCTTCGTCAAGAATATTGGTACACTCAATCCTGGCATTCACTCAAAGTTATCACCCGTTATAACCGTTTTTGAAAGTATCATGCGTTATAACGGTATGATGTATAGTGTTTGCCGTTTCTTTCACGTTCATATCTGCAAACTTCTAATTGTCTACTTTCATTATAACTTTCAGCTTATGAATCTAATAATATGTCATTTGGCTTTGATTTTCTTCGTTGGCTCGTAATCACGTACATTATCCTTTGATTTACTGAATCACACAGCATGGATAGTAGTATTTGTCGTACGTTCAGCATAGTTTCAACCCTGTGTGGAGCACTACGTTCGTATCTACACATAAAATCCTGATGATTTAATACTATTGCATATACTCAAATTTTGAGGATGAATGAGACACCAGAAGCTCCAACAACCGGGCTCCTCTAGATATTCTTCACGAAATTTGGGCAGTTGTCTTTAGGAATATCGCGCCACAGTAAAAGTATACAAGGAAAGTAGCAGTGATATGAGGCAGAGCTGTTAGACGATGTTGTTGTCTGCATTTCCTGTAGTCTCAGGGCCTCACTGGAATGTCGGTTGCAGTTGTTGGTGGAGTTTGACTCGCTCGCTCGATGGTCTGACATATGGTAGCCGACCCGAGCTGAATGTGGTTATATTGAATGCCATATCTGATCTATCTTTTATGTCGTGATATACTATTATTTATTATAGATCAAAGAAGGAAAAAAAAATCAAGAGAGACTTGAGCAACTACAAAAAGGCCATCACCAATTATAATTTTCCATTGTTCTTCTCTTCCACTCTCAACCTTTCTTTTCTCTTTCTCCCCATAAACCCTAATTTATTTTTGTAGTACAGTTTAGAAAATGAGAGAAATCTTGCACATTCAAGCTGGACAATGTGGGAACCAAATTGGAGGGAAGTTTTGGGAGGTGATGTGTGACGAGCATGGGATCGATCCTACAGGAAAATATAACGGGAACTCCCACCTTCAGCTTGAGAGGGTAAATGTTTACTACAATGAAGCAAATGGAGGGAGATATGTGCCTAGGGCAGTGCTGATGGACCTCGAGCCGGGGACAATGGACAGCTTAAGAACTGGTCCTTATGGGCAGATTTTCAGGCCGGACAACTTTGTGTTCGGCCAGAATGGAGCTGGAAACAATTGGGCTAAAGGGCATTACACAGAAGGAGCTGAATTGATTGATGCTGTTCTTGATGTGGTTAGAAAAGAGGCTGAGAATTGTGATTGTTTACAAGGTATTTAATTTGGGATTGTTCTTCTTTCTAATTCTTCTTTTTTCCGAGTCCTAATTGATGTGATCATATATTTCTAGAAAAGTTGGGTCCAATAGAAAACAATTACTACAAAATGTGATTTTCCTAGATTCTAAACATGGCTCAAAATTAGTTTGGAAGAATTATTGTTGAGTACTACAATACGGCCACATGGTATAATTAGTTCACGTGTTACAATATGAACGAATATCTATTGGTATACACCCTTCAAAATATATGAATCTCAACTTATATTATAATATGTGAACTAGTTATACCGCGTTAACATGTTACAATACTAGATAATAAATTTTTACCTTTTTGTATGCTTTACCTACGAAAAAAACACTCAGATAACACCGGAAAATGCTAAAGACAACAAGGTTGGCTAATTTGGGCTATTTTGATTTTCTTGATTATTTTTTCATTTTTTGAGTTTGGTCTTAATTGATTTTATTGAATCTAACCCCTCTAAACACAATTAAGCAAGGCAAAAATCACCTGGCCAGGTTTGTCCATCTTTTTACCAATTTAATCGGTTAAATGTATAAATTTGTTATAGGGTTCCAGATTTGTCATTCACTAGGAGGTGGGACAGGATCAGGAATGGGGACCCTACTGATTTCAAAGATCAGGGAAGAGTACCCAGATAGAATGATGATGACTTTCTCAGTCTTCCCCTCACCAAAAGTCTCAGACACAGTGGTCGAACCCTACAATGCAACCCTCTCTGTTCACCAATTGGTTGAAAATGCTGATGAGGTCATGGTCCTTGACAATGAAGCCCTCTATGATATTTGTTTCAGAACTCTCAAGCTCACAAATCCAAGCTGTAAGTATTGGGTAATAGCTTTTTAGTCATATAAATGCAAGTTTTTTTACAATTTAATGTGATATGTTGTTAGGCTATAGTCATTTTAGATCATTGATTATGTGAATTTGTTTAAACATTTGAACCGAATTAAGAGTGCAACAACTTAACATGCATATTCTATTATCATATAGTATGACATGTTATGTCGTTAAATTGTCAATCTGAATTTCTACCAAATTGGAGATCCAAATTGAGAATTTTGATACCATAACTTGTGAGCCAAGAAAGAAAAAACATTATAATTTTGCTATTGTGCACAAGTTTTAAATACTAAATCCTACATTTTCATTCTACTTGTTACAGTTGGTGATTTGAACCATTTGATTTCGACAACCATGAGTGGAGTCACATGTTGCCTCCGCTTCCCGGGACAGCTCAACTCCGATCTTCGAAAACTAGCCGTGAATCTCATCCCCTTCCCCCGCCTCCATTTCTTCATGGTTGGTTTCGCACCCTTGACCTCCCGCGGCTCCCAACTATATAGAGCCCTCACAATCCCTGAGCTCACACAACAAATGTGGGACGCCAAGAACATGATGTGCGCCGCAGATCCACGCCATGGTCGATACCTGACAGCATCGGCTGTGTTCCGCGGCAAAATGAGCACAAAAGAAGTGGACGAGCAGATGATCAACATACAAAACAAGAACTCCTCATTCTTTGTGGAGTGGATTCCAAACAATGTGAAATCAAGTGTTTGTGACATTCCACCAACCGGGCTTGCCATGTCCTCTACATTCATGGGGAATTCGACATCGATTCAAGAGATGTTTAGGCGGGTTTCGGAGCAGTTCACGGTCATGTTTAGGAGGAAGGCCTTCTTGCATTGGTACACAGGCGAGGGTATGGATGAGATGGAGTTTACTGAGGCTGAGAGCAACATGAATGACTTGGTCTCTGAGTATCAGCAGTACCAAGATGCTGTGGCACAGGATGAGGGAGAGTATTATGAGGAAGAGCTGGAGAACTGAGGATTGGAGGTTTTCCAATTTTAGGTTGCTTGGGATTGAAGAAATTAAATTGAATTATGTATTGGGGTCAGTAATTTGTGCTTGTTCTAGCTTGGTTTTTATCTCTTTTTTTTGGTTATCAATAAGGGGTTATTTATTGTAAAGCCTTCCCATTCTTAGGGATTTGGGTTCTGTTGTGAATATGTGATTACTGTAATGTTTTTTTAAGAGAGAAAATAAATAGTTATGCGTCTTGGTATTACAAATTATATTTTTCATGGCACATAAAAATTGATTGAATATTGATGTTACTTATAATGTTGAGACCACTTTCGACGCATTAAAAAAATTTGGATTCAAATTTAATTTTGTGTTCAAACATACATTCACCTCTTCATAGCATCGAAATTTTAAACTCATATATAAGTTTTTTTAGAGGAGCAATTGTAAACACAAAAATTTTGTAATGAATGAAACGAGAACGTACAAAGTAGATTTGTATTGATGAATTTGTGGGTTACAATCTCTATTTACAATTATCCTCTGATTCAGTCTTCAAATTTGATGTAGATGTGTAAGTTGTTGATCCAAGGGTCACGATGACTTAATCTCGGACGAACGATTGAACAATTGCTTCAAGTTTTGAGCTTGAAACAATGCGTGGATAGTCTTCACCTCTAGGTTTGTGTATGACCTGTGGCAAAGGTGATGATGTTGATGTGGGATTTTGTTGATTCGAGGGTCTTGGCAACTTGATCTTGAATCGAACTTCATTACAAGTTTTAAGCTTTCAACAAAGTTTTGAAAGAATCGGCACAAGTGCTTGTTGATTCTTCAAGGGAATGCTTCGGCTTTGGTCGAAAGAAAGCTTCAGCTTTGGTTGTACGTTCTTCGAAGAGAGCTTTGGCAGTGTATTAGTCTTCAAAGATTTGGCAGAGGTTCTCCTTTTGTGAGAATTTCGGCCCCTCAATGTAGAAATTGTCGACCTTTATACTTGTCTGAGGACCTTGTATTTATAGATGTCTCAAAGCTTGCCTTTGGATGGATTTGGCTTGGATTTGGCATGTTTTGTGTCTTAATTTCAGCCACTTTCCCTTGCTTGGCCAAAATGTATAGGGCTTTCTTGCCTATTTTGCGAGCAATCTTCAATTCTTGCTTGTTTTGTGAAGATGCTTTAGTTTTCATTTCAATTTTTTGAGCAATTTGGGCCCCTTGCCGATTTTAAGGAGATTTCTTCCCCTTTGCCGCATTTTAGGAATGTTTTTGAGCTTCCTTTGCTTTATTTGTGCCACATGTCATTGATGACTTGTTCATTTATGACGAGACATATGCCACGTGGAGCTTTGTGATGCATCATTTGTATGCAACAAAATTTACATGTCTACAAATGCCCCCACTTCAAGGCGCATTGTAGGTGTTCGTCTTGAGGAATATACAGTGAGGACGTTTCCTGGCCAACGAGCACACAGCTCCCCAAGAGGTTGGCACTGGTTGATGTTGTCTGTCGAGTTTCTACTTATTGGCGGGCTGTAAGAGAAAGGACAGAGTTAATCATGAAAGGTGCCTTTGTGGTGCCTTTGTGGGGCCTTAGGTGTAGGCCTTGAGGCTCACAATCAAAATTAACCTTTAGGTGTTCAGGCGTGCCACTGCCATCTTTAGCATGACAGATGTAAAACAGATGTTTAGTTTGAGTAAATATGCCCAAGTTTGGTAATGAAAGGTGTCCTTATGGGGCCTTCGGTTTAGGCCTTGAGGCTTCCAATAAAAAAACTAACCAAATACTCAAACATATATTGGTTGTTTTATTATTGCAGAAGTATCACAACTGTTATACTTTAATCGCCCGAGTCCACAATGTAGAACGAACTCAGATAGGTGCCTTTCTCGGGCCTTAGATATAGACCTTGAGGCTTCCTATCAGAATTAATTCTATACTCAAGCGTTCTGTAGCAATCCTGATATAACAAAAGTAAAACTAGAAAATAGGCTAATTACTTGCGCCCCAAGTAACTTCGGACTTCTTGTTATCAAGGACTGTCATGGATGGGTTAAGTCCACATAAGGCTCTTTTTTATGCCTTGAGACCAAGGACTTTTAATTGATCAATCTCGTCTGCCCAAATGGTTAGAACTTAGAAGTCTTTTAATCATAAACTGGCTAGAAATAACTTGGATGCAGATGGAAATATACATCATATTACTAGATTCATGAATGAAAAACAAAAACAAAGGAGGTCGGGCAAGGCTGGTTATCTTGCAACTTCCTCTCTTTATGATTTACAAAGGGTTTGAATGCTAGAAGGGGAGATTGGAAGATGAGTTTACATGAAGGAATCGATACTACATCAAGATATAGACAGGGTAGCAGAGCTTTTACAAAGGTTTTCTGGTGAAGGTTGATCCCGAAAGAGATGAAGGCTTGGGGGCTGACTACAGCTTTGTGAAGGCAAATCTGGTTTGAGCAGAGTTTGTGCTTGTATTTGTTTGTTTGATTAAGTGTCCTTGTCTCTGATTTTTCTTCCTCCTTTTATAGACGATTTGGCCTGGCTGCCTGCAGTATTGATTTTGCCCGAATGCATCTGAAGGGTAGTGACTCATCAACTTTTTACTTGTACTGCCATTGTAAAGTATTTTTAGGCTGATTAGCTGGCTGGTCTACACCACTTGACCTCTAGGTAGGTGAACAAGTGGTTTGAATAATCTACATTTGGTCGGGAAACAAGCTTCTTCTTTCTTCTAGGCTTCGGCTGGGCCTTGGGCTTCTCGCTTTCCATTCCTTCGTCTGGGCTAACTCCCTTTTGAGTCCAAAGTTCAAGTTTTATTCCAAACAGTGCCCCCTTCAATTAATATTCAGGCTGGAATTTCAGGCGCCAATATTGATTGAATAGGTGCCCTTCATACCCATGTCTTTTCTTGGGACCTACACCCTTTTCAAAAAACAACCGTCACTTACCTGCAATCTTTTTACTAACCCAAAAATCATCAGCCATCCCTAATACGAAATCCCCCCTTTCAGAATTTCCTACCTTCCCAGATACTCTATTTCTCACAAATTTCAGACTCCCTTTTGTTCTTTGTTCCATATCTTCTGCCCTCATCACTTTCTCACCACGCCTCTTCCAAACTTATCAAATGGCTTCAGGATCCGGCCAAGTCCAGCTATCATACGAATCTGGTGAAGGCATTGCTACCTTACGCCGCTTACTCAACGGATTGCATCGCCCTCGGGCAGGTTTGTGCTTTGAACTTTTCTTTGAAGTCCATGGGGTAAAATCGTTGGGTCCTACATGGATTTCTCGCGTCCCTGCTGTGATAGAAAATAATATGCCCAAGGGTAACTGGTTTGTCCCTAATCCTTTCTTGGCTAAGTCGAGCATCTCTTCAGCTAAATGGTCATCTTACCGTCATGGCTTTCTCCTAATGAATGACCCAGCTTGGACTTAGTGGATTGACGAACTAGAGCCAATCTTCAAGAAAAAGTGGATGAACAATGGTATTTACGAACTAATAATGCTTTCAAAAACTACCATTGTTCCCAAGCCCGAACTGCTTGCTACTTCTCTTCTTTTCTGGAATTCGAGCACGAATACTTTTGATTTTCGCATGGGTCCCATGTCTCTGACTATTCTAGATATGGCCCAAGTCTTCGGGCTAAGACCATCGGGCAGGATTGTAGATGTTACCCAAGACTGGGTTTCCTCTTCTTCTTCAATCGCTGAAAGCTCTAGTTCCTCCGCCTCTTTTCTTCAATTGGAATATAACTCTACAACCTTTAAGAGTTACGGGACTTCTTTCAAGGGGTTCATCCCTTTTGTCAAGGAAAATTTTGGTGCAGATTCCTCTCATGCTAACAAAGATCAGGAACATATGTATTTCCTATTATACTGGCTCAACAAGCATGTCTTCCTAAATAAATCCAAAGGGGTGAAGGTTGAATGGATCCCCTTAGTGGAAGCCCTTCATAACTTTGATAATGTAGCCACAGATCCATTTCTTCTTCCTCATCTTTATCATCTCCTTTTTGAAATGACTCAAGGTGAGCCATTTGAAACCAATATGAACGGACCCATATGGATGATCCAAATATGGCTCCAATGGTATTTCTCAGAGTTTTGGGCCAGTAATTTAGAATTCCCAGAAGGTGTAGCCCATGCCCGAATCCTAGCTGAAGCTACTCCCATAGATCACTCTACTTTTGCCTGTTTTTATTTCTTCAAGATTTGTAGAACTCGATCATGCCTGGAGTGGGGCGCTTCAATTTTGAGGAGATATCCCTAGTTCTCTGATCAAGCATTCCAAGACGCTCCCGGAGAAGATGCCACCTCATTTTGCAAGGAGAAATTCATCAGTTGTATTCAATAGAGAGACATAACCTAGGGAGTTCGTGGTAACCGTTATGATTGTGGATTGGAAGTGTATCGCCCTAATTTTTGTAGCAGGCAATTAGGCTTTAGACAAGCCATCCCTATCCTCTTTTTTTATTATGTCCATTGTGGCACTTCCTTTCGGTTATCATCCCCTTCAGAGGTGACCTTTCGAGCTGCCCGACGAAGTCTTGAAGTTATGAATCAGGCTGCCCGAAAGTCTATAGTTCTAAACTTCGAATGTACTTCACTCTTCTCCACCTGGTGGGAAGCCAAATGGACCAAGAAATATGGAGGAGATTTGCGAGAAACTCACGACCGTCTCTTTTGTCAACTTTCTCTTAAGTCATACCTAAGTTCGGGCGAACTTGAAAACTGGAAGGAAATGATTCAGCAAAAGAACCGGTTACTTCTGATAGGTATTTCTTTCCCTGTCTTGACCCTGCCTTCCTTTGAGGTTAAAGTTATTTAGTCTTATTTTCCTTGATCCTGCAGCTCAAGTAGATGTCGAAACGGCATCCATCGAATCAGAAGATGATTCAGCTGATGCAGCAGTTCTTCATGGAGCCGCAGTAGAAGCTCAAAGGCGAGAAGCTGGAGTAGACGGAGATGTTTCAGAATTTTTTTGAGATTCTAATGCTGAAGAAGTACCCGAAGCAAACGTCAAAGCGCCTAAGCGGAGAAAAGTAGTTGTGGTCGAAACCTCAGCAGAATCTGAACCTGCATCACCACCCAAACCTAAACGGCCAACTCCCACCAGAAGGAGTAAGAGAGCGAGGACTATCCAAGCTTCTAAGTCTTCAGCCTCCTCAGCTCCAGTTTCTAAGGCATAACGAAGCAAAAGTCTTCAAGTAAGTTTTTTGCTTTTCTTCAATCAGATACCACCCTTCTTCCTTATCTGATTGT